TGGCCGCCTTCCTCCGGGCGCCGCGTTACCTCAGCAGCTGCCACAGGGCGCCGCGGACGCCGCCGTGACCGCCGAGGTGCTTCAGCGCCCGCTTCACCAGCTGCACGTACTCCGCCATCTTGAGGCGGTCCCGCCCGCTCCCGCCCCGCCTGCCGCCCTTCGCCCTTCAGCCCGGGGCAGCACCGCCTCGTCCGCCCAGCGCCTGAGGGAAGGCGGCGGCGCCTCGGCGTCCGCCATTTGCTCGGCGTTTGCCCGCGCTCCCCGGCAGGGCCGGACGCGGATGCGGGTGGCTGCCCGGGCCGCGGCCTCTGGGGCCGTCCGGGCCCGCGTTCGGCAGGGAGCGGGCCCGCCGAGGCTCTCCCCTGGCCCGCTCCTGAGAACGAGCAAGGAGGGAGAGGTAGACCCCTGCGGGCAGCCCGGTGCTGCCCTGCCCCAAAGAGCATTCGGCTACTGCTCGCGTGTGAAAATCAGCAAGAGACAAAGAACTTCAGGATACGGACACCCCCCCCTTTTTTTTTAATATAAATGTCTGCTGTCTGTCGCTTATTTCACACAGGTCACAAGATCTGTGATGAGAACAGAGTTACCGAGGCCTGTAGCGTGAAGTCCAGGATCGCCTCCACCAAAAATGGGGAGAGAAGGGAGGTGACGTCTCGCCCCATGCGGACTGTCCTGACGGTCAGAGAAGAGCTTAACAGACCTGCCTCTCCCTGGCTTTTCCCACCTCTGGCAGGCCGTTAAGGAACGTGTATCTCTTATCCACCTCTCCGCCCCGCCATCTCCTTCTTGTCCCACTGCCTTCTCCTGGTTCTGCACCAGCAGGAAGAAATATTTTTGATGGCCTTGCTGTGGACATCGGGAGTTCTCAACTGCTGTCGCTGCAAGGCTGGTCTGGCAAGGTACAGAAACGACTTCACTGACCTTCATGGCCAGCCAAAAATAGATCCGCAGCGCCTTGTCAGAGCAGCAGGACTTGGAAAAGCACCCGGTAAACACATCATCAGCGCTGCAACCGGCACTGGCTGATCAGTGGAACCCGGCGGTCTGACAGCACGGAGAGGCCAAGCTGCTGGGCGCTGACGCCGTCGGAACGGGGGATTTGGGAAGGCACAAAGCAGGACTCGAAGTGAAAAATGAAGGAGATGGTGTTGAAAGGAAAAGGAGACTGGGGAAAAAGGTCTGTCAGCCAAGTTCACAGTGTGGAAATGTAATAGCCGTTTCAATGCAAAGTCTAGTGGTCTACATTTCCCATTCACAATGTTTTAATTTGAACACAAGTGATTTTGTGTTCAAACACAAAACACAAGCCCTGCTGATTCAGTGCTCTGGCCTCTAACCACAGCATATGTTTCATGGTAAGTCTCAGGCTTCAGTACACTTGTGGCAGGTTATTTGCATTTTCACAATCAAAACTCCTAGAAAATTTATTAAATATATTAAAATACGCTCAGATAACTATAGTAGCAGGCAGAAAAACAGGAACATTTACAGTCAGATTTCACTCATTTTGTTGTCTGTAACTTCATACACAGAAACCATTATTTTGATGTAGACTACTGACGATGGAGTGTAAAATATGAAAGAAATGTAGTTTAAATTAGGTAAGCCAACTTTTGAAGCATTGGATAGGTTCCACTCTTGAAGCAATTTCTAAGCCTATTTGTGATTCATGTTAACTGGGATCATTTTCATTGACTGAGTATAATTCCATGAGTATTTTCTGTGCTGGCAGTGGAGTAACATTGGGGTTTGGTTTTTTTTTTTTTCCCCAAGGGTTAAAATGATCTGGATCACATCACTGATCCATGTGGAACCATGGTTCTTGGACTGAGAAGACCACTGTGGAGGACAAGGCATTGTGACACAAAGCTGGAAGAATGGATCAACTTCTTAATGTGACTTTGATCCTACAGAAGATTTTGTGGAAATACATTCTTAGTAGCAGGAACATTTTACAGCATCTTCGAATTACATTTTGATTTTTCTTTGTATTATTTTTCTCCATTAATTGGGTCAAGTGAGATCTCCACTGAAAATTTCATTAGCTCGTAACTGCTCAAGTCCCATCAAATCTACTTAAATTGTTTTTGTTAATGTGTTTGGTCACTGAGCATGAAAAAAGAACATACTACTGTGTTCAAAATTCTCCCTGAACTTGGTGCAGATGTCACGGTCGAATACAGTGGAGTGCAAATGAAAGTATAGCATCTTCCTAAGAATTTATTGGGGCAGCTTTGGGAGACAGCATCGAAATGTTATAAAACTCATGCACCCATAAGAAATTTTTAATTCCCAGTTTTTAAAATGTAAGACTCTGTTAGATGTTGCTTTTGTTCGCCAAAAGTTAGTACACTGAACCTCACTGCCTCAAAAACTCTTGCTAAACATATTTAATGCTGCCTTGTTTTTCTCATGTGGTCCAAGTAAATGGCACAGAATTACTGACAGAACTCTTCTTCAGGCCTAAAAAAACCCCTCTCAAGTCTGAACACATGAGTTAGTTGCTTCTTTTCTAATACAGATTCAGAGTGTAACAAACAGGAACATATTTTTCCAAGATAAACAAATCAATTTCCTGAATGACTCAAAGGATGACACGCAACTTCCCTTGACTTCGATAGCAGACAACAGTCTCACTGAATCCTACATATTTTAGTTTTTCTTTAAAGAGCTTTATTTAGTGGTACAATTGATCTTGAAAAACCTAAGTTCATATATTCTCAGAAAGTGCAAACCCCAACCAATCTACAGAGTAATTTAGTATTTGCATTCTACCTTAGAACTATTTTTATTATGCTTGTCTATTCCATTGCCATTCCCCCTATTCTTAGTATGGAAAGTCACATAAATTTATTCTGCAATGGTTCACAACTGTGGAACATATATGTGCAACATTAATTGGAATTCCTTTTGTTAATTAAACTAAGAAATCCAACAGAAAAGAGACTAACAAATAAGACCGAACTATGTAGATTTTGAAAACGTTATCACTTCCTGCCCCATCTTTCTAAAATTGCAAAGTTCCAGAAGCAAAGTCCAATCCACAACACAAGTCTCCACAATTCAGTGTCCCACAATACTCAAATCCAGTCTCTAACCATAGTATCTCTCCCTCTAGTCTAAACAATGCAGTCTCTAATGCTTTCACTAATGGATTTTTTAGCCAGTCCTATAATCCATACTATTTCCTGAAAGCAAAATGAAAAAGCTTTTGTCACTTGGGTTCAATTGCTTTAAATTCATAGCCTGGAACTAAAGTGTAATGTTACTAAAAAATGTATATATTTTATAATTTTGAAAAAACATTCAAGTATGTATATACCTCTGTGACAACAGTAAAACACTCAAAAACTCCAGAATAATAAATTTACTGGCACTTTTAGGAAACACCTGCCACTTTGTGGGAGCTGTTCGGGTTATGTCTCCAGCAGTAACTCTGCCTTTGTTTTCCATTTCCCAATGGCAGAATTCCACTGGGTACAGGGTGAAAGAAAAACTCATTTTACAGTTGTTTCTCAGCTAGCCTTCGTTACCCGAAGTAGGTCGCTATTCAGTTTGCTGCCTAGTAAAACTCTAAGATGAAGCAGAATTGAAGTCGTTGTAAAGGAACCTAGACGCCTCAGGAACAGCTTCTTGGAAGGGATTAGACTGCAGGTCTGCAGAGCACCAGAAGTCTGCAGGACCAAAGCAGATTCCTTGTTTAGGAAGCTGGTATTACCAGGAGGTTCAGAGCATGGCAGTTTGGTCCTCTGGATGTCCAGCGGACAGTTCTGCTGTGTGAAATGCGCTGTATTAATTCAGAAGAACCCATGGTGGAGCAGCTCCGTCTAGTTTCTCTGCTCTCGCAGGCAATTACACCACAGAAATTTAGTTAAAAGCATCCCCAGAACATTGCTCCTGCGCTATCCCCCTTTCCCCTACCACTCGACACAAGCCACAGATACTCTTCTCTCCTTCCCAGCACCCCACCTACCTTCCCCTAATCCAAGCACAGTTAACTTGAAAATGTATTTGAGCAAGCATTACTACAAGACCCAGTTACTAAAAAATAATCAGGAAATGCATTAGTTCAGCCAGTATCAACAGCCACAAAAACCTTAAGTATCCAGATGTTGATACTTGAAGATGGTGATACTCGAGTGGTCCAGATGACATGCTGTCATCTCCAACACAGTGACTCAGAGAACACAGTCGGTTCCTACACTAAAGTCAAAAAGCACAACCCTGACTTCTGATGAAGATTCATGTAGGAGAAAACTATTCTGTATTAGCCGTTGTATATCAGAGGGAGGGTAAGGCTTTACACTAGGGAGCTCAGAGGGTAAGGAAGACTGAGGTGGCTGAGCAGGGCTGTTCACAGGCATGTATTAATGCAAGACTTTGCACACATACAAAGAAAAACAAAGGAGCTTGTGAGAGGTGGACTCATATGATGAAGTACAAATGTTCTTTGGGGTTATCTGATAGAGGTGTGAGGAGAAAAGGCAAGACTGGGTGCTAGGGATGTTTGTTGAGTAGAGGGGAAAAGGGAGATGCCATGGGGAAACAAAATCGGAGAGTTCCCAGACAAGTTTTTGCTATTGCCTAGAAGAGCACTTTTTTCTAGAGAGCTCTTCCCTTCAGAGGTGACCAAAAGGCTCTGAAAGTTACTGGTATGAGAGTAACTGCTTAGCTGTCTGATTGGGGAACAGGGCTCAGTAGAAGTTAGAGCGGGTCCAGAGGTGGGCCATGAAGATGATCAGAGGGCTGGAGCACCTCTCCTATGAAGACAGGCTGAGAGAGTTGGGGTTGTTCAGCCTGGAGAAGAGAAGGCTCCAGGGAGACCTTACAGCAGCCTGCCAGTACCTAAAGGGGGCTTATAAGAAAGACAGAGGAAGACTTCTTACCAGGGTCTGCAGTGACAGGATGAGGGGCAATGGTTTGAAACTGCAAGAGGGTAGATTTAGCTTAGATATAAGAAGAAATTCTTTACGATACGGGTGGAGAGGCACTGGAAGAGGTTGCCCAGAGAAGTTGTGGCTGCCCCATCCCTGGCAGTGTTCAAGGCCAGGTTGGATGGGGCTTTGAGCAACCTGGTCTAGTGGAAGGTGTCCCTGCTCATGGCGGGGGGGTTGGAACTAGAAGATCTTTAAGGTCCCTTCCAACACAAACCATTC